AACCCCTTCGGCGTAATCGATTCGAGATACTAATATGAATATTCAGAAGCGATTTTATCATACTACGTCGTCGAAGATTATATCATTCGCCCTATGTGCTATCGTTCTGTCCTCATCAACGTCGCGACACTTAATGGACATTTAAGACTAACTCAGCTAACTCATCTTTCTAGTTGACACCATTTTTCTCGCTTGAATTTCGTTTTACCTTCGAGTCATGTGCCTCAAAAAAAAAAAAAAAAAAAAAAAAAAAATCCTGAAGCCCCTATGGGAAAACCCTTTACGATCCCAACCACGTATTCGCACGACCGAGAGGCGACTGCTTAGCTCCGCGACTTGGTGTGGCGATCGAATAAGAAGCAAAGAAAATAACGTAGCCTTTCCAAGAGGAAGAAAAAGGGCTGAGAGACGTCGACTACCGGCCGCTTTTACCTTAATTACAGAAAATTGATGTACCACGGTAATCTTTCATACTATATCAAAGCGAGTCGAGTCTGGTCTTCTATAGTTAGACACATCAAGCCCGTAGACTGCCATAATATTCGTAGCAGAGACGCTTGCGTTGGCTGCATAAGAGCACAAGTCCGCGGCGGTAGGTTTCCGTTGAGATATTAATTTACATGTTCGGATTACAAGTTCCATACGTCCCTATTTCAGCAGTGCTGGCTGGGCTATCCACTCGCGGATGCCTGTCCGCGGAACCTCATCGCGAGTGTAACGTTATTATCCGAGTTACCTCAGACGCGGGGGATCGTTTTTATGCAAATCGATGCCGAGAGAAAATCCTCGTACCCGTCGTTTAAACGCAATCATTTCGTCTACGAGCGTTTCGTATCTCTCGTTTTCATCTTGTCGACACGGGGAAACGAAATTTCGACCGCGAATGCGTTCGCGTAGACGCGTAGCGAGAGGCAGAGATAAACAGAATTTCATTAGTGCAGTAGATGACGAATAGAAACTCTCTGTTGCGACTTAGTCGCAACGTTTGCGCTATTAAACAGTTATTCGGATGAGCTTTAATTCGCTTAACGTGGAGTGCAATTCGATTAAGTAGATAACATACTTTTTCGAATGTTTACATTTTTATTTCAAAGGCCATTTTAATCGCCGTTCTCAACTTTTTGTTTGACGGGGTCAATCGATTTGTGCAATGAACGGCTCGCATGTGGATTCGTCTCTGGTTTGCTTTCTGTTTTCGGAATAGTTTACCAAAGGAACAGCAACAAAAAGTGAGAGAGCATCGTTTCGCACGTGCGCCAGATAATTATCTCTTATTACTTTACAGGAGCCAGCTACAGGGACTGTTTTTCTTCGCGTTGGTTGATAAATTGTTGCGGAAAACGCAGCACGCGGTCGTCCCATAAACCAGGAACGTGACCCAGGACCGCGTTGCGGGAATAATCTCGCGGACGCGTTTCCTTCGGGCGAAATAAAGGGGAGACGTAGACGAAAAAAGAAGAGTTGTATCGAGTCCGACTCGCGGACGTCGAATTTCAAATGCGCGGCCTCGAACGCCGGGAAAACGTTCGCCAAAGAAAGCCTCGAGCGCCGGCGGAAGATAAGTGGGACTTAACTTCCTCTCGATCGGACGATTTACGCAGGAGCCACTCGCTTTTGTAGCGGCAACCAATAAAAGCGCGTAAACCTGGCGGTCTGATAAGCGCGCCGAGTGCCAAGAAAAAAAAGTGGTCGCGAGGGGCGCGAAAAGCCAGGAAACGTGACTTGTTGCATCATCGAGCGTAACAAAGTTACAGTGGGTTTACACAACTTTCTTCATTTAACTTGACTGCGGATTCCGCGAACGTTCCCTGGGAAAAGCACCGTATTATTGTTGACCTATGTTCTACGTACAACGTATCAAAATTGTTTGCTAAATTATAAAAAAGTGCTCGCCCTTTGCTCGCGAATTGAAATCGATACACCGTGGTAAAACGAGAAGGAATATTTCGTTGATGAATCGATGTAGGAATGTTTTCGTGCTTCGAATGCCATAAAAAATTCTCCACATACAAAAAATACAGGAAACTAACATCAAAGTTCGTAGAATAATATATACAGTCGAATGTAACTTAGCGCGAATAATAATTCGACCTACGTTAGAATTATCGATTCGATGAATAGAAACGTAGGGAAATTCTTTCCATTTTTTTCGACTGACATCGTACAAGCGATTCAATAGGGCCGTGATTGAAATATTCTCACTCTTCACGGTACAGTTGCACGTGCCGTAAATAAAAGTCACTGCTGCTGCGTGTCGCAGTCCCATCGTGACAATAAAACATCCGCGCGTCGTTAATTTAACAAAGATAAATAACGAGGAATTTCGAGAATATCAATAACGCGACGTCTGTTTAAATATTTCTCGTGACACATCTATTGAATCGGATTTGCGATATTTGTACTCGGCTGCAATATTCATGCGGAACGATCCCGATTACATCTGTTTTTATGTCTAAATTCTGGAGGAATGTAAACTACGTGAAATGAAAATGCAAGGCATAAAGTTACGATGTCGGTATTCACGAACGAGATATGTCGTGTAACAGAGGGTTGATCCAAGGCGGTCTTCACTCCTCTGTTATGAAAAAACAAAATCTCAAAGCTCCTTTCGAAAGACCCTTTATGTAACAATTTGCGTAAATAGGGTACGACTACCATGAAGTACAAATGCACGAGTTCAAACCACGTGATTACGAAGTCGATACGAATAAAACTAACAAGGAAAAACGTTTCAAGCTCGTAAAGTCGAACAGCTGTTTTAACCAACTGCGATAACAAAACGACTGGAAGTATTAAATCCAGAGTGTGTGCCGCCATAAATTGACTGTTAACATCGCACGCACGGCACTCGAAGTCCTCCCATGGGAAAGGTTAATATCAGGAAATCTTTCCCTTGTATTTCTACTATCGGGGACATCCACTGCTCGAGAAAACAAAGTAATTGCGGGTTTTTACCGATTCGTTTCTCTATTTAAGCTTTTACGACTGTGCGCAGTTTGTCGTACGAATGTGTGGATGACCCTTCGGCTAAGTCTGACAACGATGTAAAATCTACTGGCGTAGTATGTCCACTCGTAAATTGAGTACGTGACCGTGTCCGTTGTTGTGGAAACACCACTTTCGGGATATTTACGAGTTGCAGCTATTATGTGTCACGGGGTTGACATAAGACGCTAATATTTTTAGCCAAAGTACATCACATTTATTTTTCATAACCCACTTGCAATTCTCCTCGCGTGGACGTGGCGATGGGAGGGTGAATTGCCATCGTGAGTGACAAAAATGATCGAATTCTGTTCCCTTACTTTGATTAATATTACAATGCGTATTATAAATTGAAGAAACAACTAGGGTTACACCGAAACGTTTGCCGAATATCTACACCGAGAGTTCGCTTGGAAGGAGGACATATGTAGTTTGACAGAGTCTAAGAACTTCTCTTACAAGACACGATTCGCTGGTTCTGAAATACGCGAGCACTTGTCCCGGAAGAGAACAATTCGACTGTTTTACAACCTGTTGCTCTCTCCTGTGCAATATTATCAACGCTACCAAAAAAGATAATTCGAAGAATTACCCAGTCAAAGGTAAATACGCTCGACCCATGTAGGGTGTACAGAAGGATAAACTTTCGAAGGCAAAAAGTGATTCTTCCTTGATGTTTCAACGACTGCAACAAGTAGTCGCTTACATTCATCTCGAGTTCTCAACCAAAAAGAGTAAAACTGCTTGCCGAATTTTGTTCTATTCGAGTACTCGAACGCCAACTATGCAACATTTAACGGAATATCTAACAAAATCGTTCGGCTAGTAACATTCGAATCGTGGAATTCGAATACTCGAATATCTGAAGTTTATACGGAATACGTATTCCAGAACCTATGAAAAGTTTGAATATTAAATTACTCGAATATTTCCCAGCCTAAGCGTCGAGGTCTGACAAACTACCTCTGCACATCTCGAGACAGCACAAGAAACTTAAGGGGATACGTGACAAAACTCCCGCAACAATCTTCGCGCCCTTACTCGCTATCAATGTCTTCTAAAAATCCTCGAAAATTCCCCGAGGAGTCGCCGGAAACCCCTTTGGGTATCGAGGCTTCCTCGAAATACCAACCAAGTATGTGGAAAATTCACTGAACCTGATAATGTCTCTTAAATTCTGAAATAAGGAAGTCAAACGAAACTGCCATAACTAGGAATAGAGACTAATGTCGAACGATCCTTCCTCGCGAGTAAGAGTGTTCCTTGAGTGTTTGAAACGTTGTGTAGAAACTATATTATAAGAAGAACATCCTTATAGGAGTTCTCAGCAGTTGACAAGATATAATTGTAGGAGTCTAAACGAAAAATAAGGCACGGGGATTCGAAGCCACGATCCTCGGATCCACAGTCGATCGCTTTACCTACAAGACCAATCCCGTACCCTACGTTAGTGTTCTTATTTGACTCCTTATTGTTGGGTATGGAAGGCGCGGACACTACATAATTGCATTCGCAAAATACAAGGAATCGCAATGCGCAAACACCACGGGAAATTCCTCCCAGAAAACCTGCGCTGAAACGCAATAATTTGATGAAAAAGTGCTTTCGCCTCGACATAGAAGACGATGCTTTAATAACCAGTTTCCTCTTCAAATTACAGCTTTACGCGCGGCGTAAAGAAGAAAAGGAGCGAAAGAAGAACGAAATAAATTGTACTCCTCAACAGAGGGTAATAATAATAACAGTTCTCGTTACTGTCGGGATGCAAGTGTCACTTGCGCAACGACACAAAATAAATTTCTACTTTCATTGAAGCTTAGAAATTGTGGTAAAATTACGGCACACGCGACACCGGAGCGGAAACGGCGAATTCGCGTCCAAAGGCGTTTCCCGCTTACCGTCGCACGTATATCATTGGCATAATCGTCGAGCCGAGAGGACCGAACTAATATAATCTGAAACGGAGGGGAAACTCGTCGAGGTTTGTCGACCATTCACATGTCACGAATCCAGTTTGTATCGAACAACAGCCTGCGCACCGTACTCTGTTACGCGTTAATTAAACTTTCATGAATATAAAATTGCGATTGTTAAGTGAGGCCGGTGTCGAACAATTCCTCGCCGCGATAATGATTATCTTTAATGTGCGTTCAAGTGGAAATCGTTTTTCGCGTGACAGCTGAAAATTTAGAGAAACGCCCGCTGTGGCATGGCGTGTTGGGAAATATTTTAGGTGAAAGTTCGTTACCAACAAAAAAGCAGCAAGAAGTCGCTCTAGAATAAATTCTCCGTTGATATCTCGACGTATTTCTTTTTTTATCGTCGTCCTACCGTCTCTCTCACTAAAAAGTTGGGTCCGTTGTGCGCGAGTGAAGGCAGATAGAGACGCTAACATCTACATATTTGTTTCACGTTATGAAACTTCTAAATTAACGCTACCTCTTATACTGGACGATTTTTCCACGATTCTACTTTATGTAAGCGTTCGTACCTCTGTTCTATTTCGCTCGAAATATTTGTTTCTAGTTTTGTAAAAAGTGTATACGAGTAGCTTGTTATTTTAATTAAAATGAAAATACTTGGTTTCGCCCAGGTCCCAACCAGGAATTGTTAAACGTTCTCGGTTTGGTGTTCGAAAACATTTTCTTAATCTACAAATGATATTCTAGTGTTGGAAATGATCGCAATTATTTGTAACGATAATGTAGTATCCGCGCATCCCATACCCAACAATAAGTAGTCAAATAAGAACACGAAACGTAGGGTACGGGATTGGTCTTGTAGGTAAAGCGGTCGACTGTGGATCCGAGGATCGTGGCTTCGAATCCCCGTGCTTTATTTTTCGTTTAGACTCCTACAATAATAATAAAATTACGAAGAGTAATTATAACGTAAGAGGTAGATTTTTAAAATAATGCCACGTTAATTTTAATATGAAAGGAAGTTCCGTAAAAAATACCACTTTTTCAGACATTTTTATCTTTAACACATTTCCTTCTACTTTCTTTCTTACACACTTACGGTCACGTACGAGCCATGTGCAGTTTTCAACTCGACTGTCCGCCACACTCGCTCCTCTCCTACACCTTACGAGTTTTTGTACAACCAGAGTCAAAGTACAGAAAGACTGGTTCCGCGGTCTAAATTAAAATATTTCTTCAGCAACGTCAGAGGGGTTTCAGAGAAAACAAATATCAAGGCATTTCATAAATCTTTGAGTATTTAACTGTACGAACTTTTGACCCAATTTAACCGCAGCTTTGCCTGCTTCAAACATCCGATATCCACGACGGATAATTGAATAAATCAAATTTGCTCAAATCAAATTTATTCAATTATACTTACTTGAACACAAACGTTAAAGACCAAAGAGTATGTCTAGCAAACTTAATAAAATGTTTTACCCAAACTCTAAATTGAAATATACCCGACATTCCTGCTGACCCGTAAACGAAAACAGAAAGCTTTGCACAGGAGTTGAATAAAAGTTTCGATTCAACCCTCTCAAACGCAAAATGCACCGAGTCGCGGTAGCCGCGATAAATTGTCAGGAATCTTAAAACAACGGTTATATAATATCGCAAAGTCATAAATAACTTTGTCACCGTCGGCTACGAAACTCTGTGAACGATTGTATGATATATACTACGTGCTCGGAATAACGCGGAAAGAGAAGTACATGAAACGACACGGCTCTTTGATCTATCGAGCAGCTATATTTGCTTCTGTTTGAGGCGCAGATAAAAATTCAGATACCGAAACGTCGGATAAATGCTAACCACGTTGATGAATAGCGTCCACGAAATGGCCCATAAATTCTGGAAATGATTTACCGCGTCTCCGGGAATCATCTGCATACCTGGACCGATTAAAAAATGCTGATGGAACTGACCGCGGATGAAATTCGCACACGAAGAAAGACCAGTTTTCTTCGAAACTACACTGTTAGGATTCTTTTTTTTTTTTTTTTATTTTTTCCATACTAATTTTAATTCAAGTTAACCCTAAAAATTATATTACACTAGTACGAGGACAAAAATTCAGGTCTAAAAGGGTTAAATATTATCTTCTTATGTATGCCATTATGGAAATGAATTAATGAACTTAAGCTGCAAAATAAAATAAACAGTTTGTGTCAACACGGGCAGCTGCAAATATAATTTTCAGACGCACAGGAAGTACTCAAAGTTTATCTACACCCTCTACACAGAGCAAAAACGTCTGGCATAAAAGATTAGAATTCTTTCTGCATTATTGAATAAAAATGACGAGCACCGGCCACTCCCGCAGCGCCAGACAATAAACTTAAAGTGCATCCGCGAAATTGAAGAGGTTTAGGTTAAGAGACGGGTGACGCGAGTCCATCTCATTGTGCACCGTTCCAGGAAGACGTTAATTAACAAACTGCACACTGCAGAGCTCCATTATGCACGAAGCGCATATGGGTCCTCATATTCAGCGGGCCATCCTTTACTGGCCTAACCATGAAATGCTATGAACGATTATAGTACAATGCTTTACTTAACATGCCGAGGAATACCACTTCAAATGAACTCCCGCGAATACAGGGCGCATCTTGCTAGAAAACCTACGATTCGGTCGTTTATTTTAATCAGCCGTGACGCAACGAATCAAACTACCCGGGCTCACGCAACACTCTTTTTTCCCTGCAATCTAGATTTGACTCGTGTGCAACGTAACACGCGTGGCCAATTAATCCTGACTGACGCGTAATCACGAAACCCAGATACCCAACGTTGCCCTGGGAAGCAGAGTGCTCGCTAGAAATAAGGAAAACAGAGCCGTCGGTAGACTGATTCGGATTTACAACGGCGCAAATATTTACAAACAAACATTCGAGAACGACGAGTAATTAAGTCACGCAAAGGGAATACGAAGAAGCGAGCCGGCCTTCCGTGAAAGACCGGAGGCAATTAGGTATTGGCCAAAGCTAACCGACGTTTCATAATTCACGAGATTCTCCTCGTCGGACGTCTTGATCCATTCGCTGGATAATTCGGTGAACAACAGCAGGGAAAAATTGAATGAATCGGTGCTAAAGGTTTTCCAAACGTGCGTTTAGGTTTTAGAATATTGTATCAGTTCATCCCATAAGTTCGTACTGCAGACTGAACCAATATTTAATAAAAAAAAAATTAGACGAATAAATATCATGAACTTATGGGACGACCTAATAGATTTTAGAATATAGTCACGGAATTTAGCACCCATTGGAGCTACTAGTAATCGCGTAATAAATAGTCGTTGAAAAAAGAACGAAAACGTGCATTAACGGTCCGAATGCTCGGAAGAAACGACGCTGAAAGAAGAAATTTGCAATCGTTTACCTAAAGGAGGAAATGCTCGAATGTTTCGCAAAAAAATCAGTTGTTCGTCTGTTGAAACAAACTGCGAAACATTTCTTACACCATCGGAGAAAGTAATCGTTCGAGGGAAATTGCTGAATGAAGATCGATCGATGAATAAGTTACCGAACGGGTCCTCGGGGTTTTCCGTTTCGTGCGCATTCCACATTTTTACACGATACCGATAGGCAACTTCAAAGTACGATACTTCGCATAATAAGACGAAAGAACGAAGAGAGATCAAAGATTGATGCACGTATCGATCGTCGCCGCTGTGAGTTTCAGTATTACGTGCACGAACCACGGAATGCGAGGAATCTATTTACGCAAAAATATCAAACAGGAGGCAGAATTGCTTCCCACAAAAGCAGGTAGCGAAAATGTGGCTCAAAACACGTAATTTATGTTGCGATGCTATCCATAATACTCGTCCTTCGTTTATAATTCCTCTACGCAAAACATTATATTTTTCGCTTCTCTGGCAACCCTCTTTCCGTGGAATTCCAATGAACTTCACATTTACTGCAAATTAAAGGAATAGCAAAGGATTTCATAAATCATCGTAAAGTTAACATTTGTATTTATTCAGCGTACATTTCTGAGAAAACAACGCGAGATCAAAGCGTGAAATGTTTTCGCGTAGCGTTTCGACGAACCAACTGGAACGAGCTTTACCTTTGACGCGTAAACGTTCGCTATATTTCGACATACTTTCTATACCTTCGTCTAAGCACCTTTCTCCGCCGTGATTTTTCTCGCAGCGCGAACCAAACACGCGAGAAACAAAGGGGAAATTGGTAACCGCGAGTCTCCGCGGAAGTTACAGGCGTCCCGATGTAGAACAAGTATCGCGATCGATGGTCAACTTCGTAACAGATCGATTCTGTATTACACCAATTTTACTCTCCTATTCAAAGAAGATATTAACTCTGTAATAACTTGCTCGCGCTGCGTTCGCTAACGTTGTAATGGAAAACGAGCTCTTTAAATTATACGTCGCCGGCGTATTTGTATCTCGACGTGGTAACTAGATGTTAAGCTTAAAACGATACATAAATTACGCGGAAGCTGTTGCCATACGCAAGTTTAACTTTCGTTTTAGTGCTCGTAAGCCATTAATCTTACGTAGATCGCAATTAATTCGGTTTATGAAACTTCCAGCGTCTCTTTGCCGCGATCTCGGTGATAGATTATGAAGAGAATAGAAATCCTGCAAGTTCGGAGAATGAAGCCTCGCGTATGCTTCTGAAGTTTAAGGTAATTACAAGAACATTATACCTAAGGGTCTGTTTACATAAGTCAATCTCAAACCGACCAAACTCGACGATTACACGAAATTAATTCAGTGTTCGACAACATTCAGGGATCACTCGCAGACTCAATGTATAGAAAGAGAAACGATTTTTCAAGCTTTGAGCCAGGGTATCCCTCCCGATAGGAAAAATTCCTGATAAAAAGCGGAATCGTTTCTCTTTCTCTGCGCCGTGTTTAATCGAAATCGCGGGCAAAAAAAATCACCGTGTAAAATACGAAAACTCTCGTTGAATAAATTGATTTTTGTAACGATGCGAACTTCCTACCGTGTTTGCTGCGTACAATGCAAACGCGCGAATAGGTACGCTCGAACGAACGCGAATCAAAGACGGGAATCGCTCGCGGCTTCTCCGCATTTGTGAGGGCGGACAAAACCAAACGTCAAGGCTTGGCCTGGATCAGCCCGGCAGAAACATAATGCCTATGTAATTATCTCGAGTAAACGTCGCGAAAGGCCGCGCTCGAGAGAATCCCGTGACTACTCTCAGACTTAGACAGCTGAATCGGGTTATATCAGGGTAGCGAAGGTGAAGGAGATAAAGGCTAAGCCCTAGCCCATTACCCGTAACGATCTTTTTGCCTCGGTTACGACCATCTACATCTTCAAAACGAACGCAAGGAGAATAGAAAGAAAGCTGCGGAGCCAAAGAGAAGGACGTAACGCGGCCTGCCGGAGGAAAGAAAAGGCCGAAATGAAAATTATGTAGCGCGTTGCATCTGCTCGTCTGTAACCGACTACCTCCTGCACTCGTTACTGCTAATGGAGATTAAACGGAGACCGAAAGGGAGGGCGCCGC